AGTTTTCTCACCTGTTAAGTGGGGAGAAGCGGGAGGAGGGAGTGGGACGGTGAATGGGAATCGCTTTGTCCCTCCCGGGCACCTTCTAAGTGCCCACGGGCGTGAGCTGACGTGGCCCCCACACTTCACGGCTGACAGTGCTCCAACAGGCCCCGGGGCCTCTGCACACGCCAATCCCCCAACGCGGGCCTCGGTGGGCCCAGGCAGCTTTCCCAGGGCGTCGGGGTTCAAGTCAGTCACCATTTTCCAGCCTCCGACTTTTCTATTTTGCTAAGGAAAAGCTTCTTCTTCCAGCTAAGAATCGTTTGCGGAAGCCTGTGTGTAAGACGAGCCCCGGGGGAGCCGCTCAGTGGAGGCCGGGTCCCTGGAGGACAGGTCCTCAGTCGCTGCTGTGTGGCGGGGGCTGAGCAGAGCCACCCGGGGCTGTGGGGGCCACTGCACCACACTCAGAGCCCCCCGCTCTCCCTCCAGGTGGACCGGATCCTGCGCCAGGCCATGTCGGCCCCGGGCCTGGCTGCCATGTCCGCGGTGGTCATTCACAACGACACTGTGCTCTGGACTGGGAACTTTGGGAAGAAGAACGGCTCTGACCCGAATTCTGGGACACCCAATGAGTACACCATGTACCGGTCAGCTGGGCCGCCTGCAGGGGTCCTGTGGAGGGGTGAGGGATGGGAGGGCAAAGGGACCTAGAAGGCAGGGATCCAAGAGAATGGTGGCTGGGGGTCTAGGCTGCCAGGGCCCATGATGAAGTCCTGACAGTTCTATAGAGGAGAAGACTGAGGTCCAGAGAGGACCAGTGAGTACTCAACTTCTCATCATTGTGGAACAGGTGAGGAAGGGTCCCTTCTGCAGAGCCCTTAGTCCCAAACTAGAAAGAGGTCCCTTGTCTCCCTACCCTTCCCATGTGCCACCCAGGAACTATAACCCCTTCCTGGGCCTTCACCCCAGGTCCCTGTGAGTTGGCAGCAGTGGCCCAGATGGGAGCAGCTTGGGACATTCAGCTGCACACCATGGGTCCCCTTTCCTGGATGCTGACCACAGGATCCTCAAGCTCACAATGCAAATTGAAGACACCCCAGGGAGACTGGGGGACAACAGGGACCCAGGGGGAACAGTCCTTTTTTTTCATTAGTTGTTGAAGGGCGGACCTGTGTTTAATTGTTTATCTGTGGTGCTGAGAATCGAACCCAGTGCCTCACACATGCCAGGCGAGCCTCAGCCCCGGAACCAGTCTTCACACAGCGCCTTCTATTCGCTGTCATTTACTGAGCACTGTCCCTGCTGGGGATGCAGAAGCACTCACATGCACAGTCTCACCCAACCCACTTTACTACCCGTGCAGCTCTCAGAGAGGTCTAGCAACTTGCCCAAGGCCACCCAGCCAGTGAGAGGAGAGGACAGACCAAACCAGGCCGCCCAGAGTAGAAAGCGCCTGGAGAAGGGCCTGGCGCGGGGGTTGGTACTCAGGAGCGCCCTCCCACTCCAGCCCCTGCCCCTGGTGACCTCCAGCATCCCCAGGTGGTCCCCAGAGGCTTGGCCACCTCCTTCTCACATCCCGGCGAGTGGGCTCAGTGCTCCTCTAGGAGCCTAGGGGTGCAGGGCAGGAGTGGGTGGGGGGCTGACGGGTGGCCCTCTGCGCCCTGCGCCCAGGATCTCCAGCATCTCCAAGGTCTTCCCGGTCCTCATGCTGTACCGGCTGTGGGAGGAGGGCACCGTGGCCTCCCTGGACGACCCTCTGGAGCGGTACGCCAGCACCTTCACCATCCGCAACCCGCTGGGCCTGATGGACGGGCTGGAGGAGGTGGGCCCGGCCCCCAGGCCTTCGCCTGTCACCCTCCGCAGGATGGCCAGCCAGCTGTCGGGTGAGTCTCGGAACCGACCCAGCCTGACCCCAACCCCTTCAGGTGGGGACTCCTGGGACATCCAACAGGATCCCCGCTCTGCTCCCTCAACTGGCCACACTTGCTACCCACAGTGCCTGGGTGGTGGGCCAAGTGCAAGAGGTGAAGGTGGGAACGCAGAGGTGAAGGTTGGCGGAGGTGAAGGCTGGCGGAGGTGAAGGTTGGCCGAGGTGAAGGCTGGCAGAGGTGAAGGCTGGCGGAGGTGAAGGTTGGCCGAGGTGAAGGCTGGCAGAGGTGAAGGTTGGCGGAGGTGAAGGTTGGCCGAGGTGAAGGCTGGCAGAGGTGAAGGCTGGCAAAAAGGTGAAGGCTGGCAAAAAGGTGAAGGCTGGCAAAAAGGTGAAGGTTGGCGGAGGTGAAGGTTGGCGGAG